TGCAGGAGAGAGAGAGAGAGAGAGAGAGAGAGAGAGAGAGAGAGAGAGAGAGAGAGAGAGAGAGAGAGAAAGAGAGAGAGAGAGAGACCTTCAGTTTTGCAAAAGAGAGAGAGAGAGCGAGTGCTTGCACGCACATGCACCGCCTGAGGATTGCGAGCCGTATGCTCCATACAGTCTGATAACTACACAACTTCTATTATTTTTGATACACAATTGTACAAACATTTGTAATGCTCATCTTTGTGCGATTGAGTGGTGTGTGCGGCTGACTCTGTAATGGTAATATTTCACGACAATGTGTTTTGTCAAGCTGTGGTGAAACTTGTTTGTTGCAGGGCAGGGTGACGTGGACTGAGGCTCCCCAGGCCAAATCGCCTTATATAGAATGGGACACAGCAATCTTAGGGGCACAGAAAAGGAAGGTTGGCTACTGCGTGCCAAAATGTGACGGACCCTGCCGTGTTGGACAATTTGCGGCCCGCAGTAGTCAACCTTGTTTGTACGAGGGCAGCCCAACATTTAATCGACACGTCTGCTCCGTACACGTGAGAGAATAAGTCCAAAAATTTTGTCAACCTGTGGTGAAAAGTGTTTGTTCCAGGGCAGGGTGACGTGGACTTCGGCTCCCCACGCACAACAATCTTAGGGGCACAGAAAAGGAAGGTTGGCTACTGCATGCCAAATTGTGTCGGACACCGCCGTGTTGGACAATTTTCGGCCCGCAGTAGTCAACCTTGTTTGTATGAGGGCAGCCCAGCATTTAATCGAAATGTGTTCGTCGGACACCGAAAGTCAACCTTGTTTGTACGAGGCCCGAAATGTGTTCGTCGGCAGCCTACAGCATCTCTCTCTCTCTCTCTCTCTCTCTCTCTCTCTCTGATCATCAATCTTTGATCCCTGAATTCCATTAGTCACTGCAATCATCACGTGCCCGGTCGGCGCGTGCAAACCCAACGCTCGCCCATGTGATCTTCGTACTCCAAAACGTGCTCAGTCCTCAAACGAGGAAAACACAGCTACAACCCACCCCCGGACAACGCAAATGACCCGTAACCGAAACTGCTATTGCGCACGGTCCAATACCCTGTTTCAACACGGTCCAACACATTTCAACACATTCCAACACACTTTCAACACGTTTCAACACGTTTCAACACATTTCAACAAGGTTTCAACAACATTTCAACAACTCTTCAACAAGATTTCAACAAGCTACCAACAATGGATCAACAGTTGGACCAACTGTCTGTCAACAGTTGATCCAACAGTTGAACACACAAGTTTCAGTGTCCCCAATATACGGTCAGTGTTGGTTTCCTTCAGTTTGTGTTGAACACATGCGCCCCCCCCCGGCCAACGGTTTATAAACAGTTGAAATGTGGTGTCAACATAGGTTCAACGTGGCAAAAAAATTGCCACATTTTTTCTGTTGTGGTGACGCGGGGAGGCGTACGACCGGATTCGAGGAAAGTCGTGGCCGTCCGCGAAGCCCCCACGCCTACCACGCTGACGCAAGTTCGGGACTTTCTGGGACTGGCCTCATACTACCGTTGATTTATCAAGGGTTTTGTTGCTATCGCACGACCCCTGACGAATCTTTTGTGAAAGGACTAGCCATTGAACTAGGACGCGGAGTGCCAGCAAGCCCTTGTCACCCTGAAGGAGGCTTTGGCTACGACACCTATCTTAATTCGGCCCGATCCGGAAAAGCAGTTTAGACTCATTACGGACTGACAGCCGGAAGCGATCTCCGCTATTTTAGCTCAAAAGGGGAACGGCGACCGAGAACACGTCATCGAATACGCCTTGCGAACGGTGGCAGATGAGAGGAGAAACGATTCGGCTCCGCAAGGTGAATGTTACGCCGTCGTGTGGGCAATCCAACATTTCCATCCGTATTTGTACGGACAGAAATTCCTTCTCGTCATGGACCATGAATCCTTGCTGGCTCTCAAAAAGCTTACCAACTACACTGGCATGATTGGGCGTTGGGTTGTGCGACTGCAAGAATACGATTTCGATATCGTCCATCGGAAGACAGAGAAGCACGGCAACGCTGATGGGCTAACCTGATTACATCGGCCCAACAAAGTAGCTAAGGGAGACGAGATTACACTGTGGAAAGAGCCAAAGCTGAACGACGAGCTCTCGTACGGACAGGTGGTCATCCTTCCTCGGCCTACTAAGAAGTGATTGGTGGTTGCAATGGCGTCGGAGCACGAAGGTAATTCTGAAGGCCCTCTTTCTCCCCCTTCGTCTTCATCTCTTCTCTCCTTGCCCGATAAATTTTGCTATTTTCGCGAAGCAATTTCGAGGGTTTATTCGGTCCCTATGCGTCTTAGCGGGGAAGGATATGTCGAGTGGGTCGATTGTCAGCATTCTGTTTTTAGGGCCTCTGGTGACTGCATTCAGTATCGGAACGCAGACAAGGCTTGGTTATGTCCTTTGTGTCGATCAGACAAAATTCCTACGGAGGCTCGCTTCTAGGAAGCCACGTCGGAGGGTTTAGAAAAAACTCGTAGGTTTAGAAGGGCCGAGGTGTGGACAAATGTCGTTTTAATAGCCACCGTAGTCGGGAACCCCCTCCGGGACTTCACAAAGGAGGATCGGAGGCGGGCCAATGAACGGGCTCTGGATTATCGATGGAACGAAGGACGGTTAGAAAAACGAAAAACGGATGGTAGCAGAATTTGGATGTCTATCCCGCATCCATTCATGAGGTATGACTGGGTTGAGTCAGCACATCAGGAAACCGCGCCCATTTTGCTGTCAGAATCACGGAAGCCGCAATCGATAAGAATGAGTGGTATTGGTCGAACATTCACGACGATGTTAAATTCATCGTTCGAAATTGTCAGGTCTGCGCCACTGACAAGGCACCGATTCAGCCGCCTAGATCGATATTGCCCATTGAAGTCCAATGGTCGTTTCAAAGGGTTGGCATGGATACGACGGATATTATCGTGCCCCCTGAACCGAATAGCTGCGAATATTTAATCCTTTTGGTTTTTGTCGATCATTTTTCAAAATGGATCGAGGCTTATCCTTGTAAGACGAGACAGGCGGCGGAAGTCGCGCGATACGTCAACCGTTTCCTCGGCATGCACCAGGATACATAAGAAATCTTAACGGACAATGGGGCGGAATTCAGAGGGGATGTTTTGAGGAACGAGGTTCTACACGATGTCTCTATTCGCAATACTACTCCCCATATGTCGCAATCGAACGGGATCGTAGAAAATGCAAACCGGGTAATTAAGATTGCATTGTGACATAATATCGCAGCTAGAGACACGAGGCCATGGCCATATGTCAAGGATCATATCCTTGAGATCCATCGGGGGACACCCCACGAATCCACGGGGCTGACGCCGTTCCAGTTATGGACCAATAGCCTACCGTGCGTAACCCTACCGAGCCTAAATGATGCAACGACCCTTTCCCGAAGGACCACAAGAGCGATGATTAAGGACAAGGCCCAACATCATTTGGATTTGATGGAAAGGGCCCTCCCCCGGTTGGCCCAAAAGAGACAGCGTATGATGGAAATGGCCCATGGCCGACAGGTCCGAAGTTATGAGGCCCAGAACGGGAACGCGGGTCCCTGGCCCTAGTACAAATTAGGGGACATAGTGCAGGTGAGGAAATGTGCTCGTGAAGGTAAGCTAGCGCCACGATTATTCGGGCGATTTTGCGTAGTCGAGCTTGGTCCGAGCGGGGTGAACACGGTGCGGCCTGCGCCGGAGGTGTCGGGAAGCCGATCGGCTCGTCCGATCATTCACCACGTGTCCTACCTTCATCCTCTTCCTTCTTCCCCTTCTTCTCCATCGTCTACGTCGTCCCTTGATCCCGAGGAGGAAGACGACCACCCCGACTATCTTAACGGACAATGGGACGGAATTCAGAGGGGATGTTTTGAGGAACCAAGTTCTACACGATGTCTCTATTCGCAATACTACTCCCCATATGTCGCAATCGAACGGGCTCGTAGAAAATGCAAACCAGGTAATTAAGACAGCATTATGACGTAATATCGCAGCCAGCGACATGAGGCCATGGCCAGATATCATGGATCATATCCTTGCGATCCATTGGGGGACACCCCACGAATCCACGGGCCTGACGCTGTTCCAGTTACGGACCAATAGCCTACCGTGCGTAACCCTACCGAGCCTAAATGATGCAACGACCCTTCCCCGAAGGGCCACAAGAGCAACGATTAAGGACAAGGCCCAACATCATTTGGATTTGATGGAAAGGGCCCTCCCCCGGTTGGCCCGAAAGAGACAGCGTATGACGGAAATGGCCCATGGCCGACATGTCCGAAGCTATGAGGCCCAGAACGGGAATGCGGGTCCCCGGCCCCAGTACAAATTAGGGGACATAGTGCAGGTGAGGAAATGTGCTCGTCAAGGTAAGCTAGCGCCACGATTCTTCGGGCGATTTTGCGTAGTCGAGCTTGGTCCGAGCGGGGTGAACACGGTGCGACTTGTGCCGGAGGTGTCGGGAAGCCGATCGGCTCGTCCGATCATTCACCACGTGTCCTACCTTCGTCCTCTTCCTTCTTCCCCTTCTTCTCCATCATCTACGTCGTCCCTTGATCTCGAGGAGGAAGACGACCACCCCGACTATCTTGATTCCTCTACTTCTCAGCCTTCGTCCCCCTCGCCATCGCCATGAGCTTTTTGGACGAGCCAGTCATCAGTGAGCGTTTGATGCAACCCAGTGGTTGCATATTATCGATCCGGCAAGTGCGGCGACCCCGAGTGAGTCCAGATCTACTCCGATTCACTACCTTCTTCAGCGCGGCGGCCATTCACGTGGCGGCCAAATTTCGATTCACACCAGCTCGAGAGACACGTGTGTTGGCTGAAGCGTCGACCTTTTTGCGGCTGTCTCCCCCGGGAGAGAGCCACATATCGGTCATCATCGTCTTCACAGGCGACCTTACTTCTCTGCATCCGACACTCCATACCGAGATCTTCCGACAGTTGAGAGCCTGGGCGAGGGATATCACGAGGGCGTGGGTGCGATTGTTGGCTCGGCCTCACGATCGGGTCGTAACGACCAATGATATCGATCTTCAGCTTCGGGTGTCTCTCATTGCGCCAGAGGTCGACCTTCCCAAGCTCCTTCCTTTCGCCCCGCCTCGATGAACCGTCATCGCCTCTCCACCTTCACCCTCCCTTCGGATGTCCCCGTGTTCTGGCAGTCTGCCGAGGACGCATCCTTATCCTTCACGGTCAAGCACCTAGACATGACGATCTTGAGCGTGCTGCCGTGGGGCCAGTGGTGGCAGTGGCAAGCTTACGTGGCGCTCAGCTTCTGCCTTCTCGACGTCGCATTTCATTGGGCCGAGCCTACAGATCGGGCTGTGGAGAGCGAGGTTCCAGATAATGAGGTAGAGCTGCTTCTCGTTCAAGCGTGGAGAACAGGTACGGAGGGAGACTTTCTGGGAATTGTATTTGGGGCAGTGCGCGACAACAATTTGAGCGCCATCACTGACGAGTTGCTGGTATTCCTCGTCCAAGTGTTGGACGATCTGCCACTAGAAATCCTGTCACGGTGCGACGAAAAGCCAGGAACGGAGACGCTTACCCGCTCCTTGAAACCGCACCTTCTGTGGTCCACATGTACGGAGTTGGACGAGGGGAGCTACTATTTGCCATCGAAGGGCGTGTTTCTGACAGTTGACGTCACCGATCTGTCCACGTGGGACCCGCTCGTTGGACGCATCCCCGAAGGACAGACGAGTGAGGAGGTACAGGAAGAAGAGGAAGAAGAATATGAAGAGTCGGAGGAAGAGGAGGAGCAGAACGACGATCCTGACTACCGAGAGTCCGATGACGACGTGTTGGGAGAGGTTCGATTGGGGGAGGACAACGAGGAACAGGAGGACGACTCGAAGGAGCTAGCCACGTCGACTGATTGAAGTGAAGCAGTCAAGCTGACAAGGGAGGAACAGGAAGCTGGAGACCAGAAGCGGCGGGAAAAGGCGGAAGGCAAACGTCCGGTCGAGGGCTCAGGACCGCCACCGCAACTGCTGCAGGGAAATCCTGCACTTAATCCGGAGCCTCCGTGGGAGGAAGTCGAGGGAGATTGAGCCGCCGCAACTGGGCCCTCAACAAGCCGCCGCCGCCGAAGAAGTGGATCCCCCTCTCAACTCTCCTCACCCTCCCGTGCCGCCCTTCGTTTACGTCGAAATGCGAGCGATCCGGCTTCGTCCCCGATCGTTATCCCGTCGTCCCCATGAATTCCTCACTGTCTAGCAGCTTGTAGGCTGACCCCGTTCCCCAACAACTGGCATTCGTTCCTTGTTCCCCTCTTCTATCATCGCTATGCCACCCGCTTTCTGATCACCATCTTTCCTTACACTACTACCCGTTCGCTCGTCACTTCTTTTCCCCTCCATATCCTACTCTTTAGCGTCGATTGGCAGGAATTCAATCACATGGAGGTTTATTGCATCATCTCTGGCACGATCCCTCCGTGCGAGGATTACGACAATTTCCGCACGGTCATTCGTCGCACCATCGCCACCCTTTACCCCGAGTACCTTGCTTCCCTCCCCCACCAACGACGGCATCCTCGCTTTTCCTTGTATCCGACATCCTGTGCGAGGCTGCAGTGGGGAAACGGGAGGGCTTTGATGGGTGACGGGCGTAAGCAGGGATCGGTTGGGCAAGTTGCATGGATGCCCTCGCTTCTTTCTTGTTTTTGTTGGACTTCGTTGGGTCGGCGCCGGGAAAGCCCCGCGCCGACGATTCAGTGACCGTGCCCTAGCAAGCACGAGAAATAACGGTTGTCATAGCTTCTTTCTTGTTCTACCGTGAGCACTAGGAATTTTGGCGTGATCAGCGCACGAGAATTTTCGTTTTTAAAATTCAAACTAATGTCGAACCCCTGCAGGCTCTCGAAATTGTTTTTTTTCTTTCGGAATTTTCTTTTGCAAAAAGGATTTAGACTAGGAATTTAGGCACCCTACAATTTAGCTACACGACGCTTCTTGCTCGCACGCACCGTGCCTCGACAGGGTCTGGGCTCTGATTTCCATCCGCGCCTTAATCCTGTGTGTAACTGTAGTTTTTGGCGGGCGCAATCATAACTGTAATCTTCTTGTTCTTGATGGCCTTTGTGTTTCCTACTTTCCCACCTCGTCTTCGCATGGACACTCTCTTTCTCCGTTCTAAGTGGTTCCCACGTTTGCATTCCCGGATCGATGCGTGGAGAGTGGCTCCGTCCCCTGCGCCGCGGCCTGGACGTGCAGACGTAGGCACTTCATGTCTTCTCTTTCTCATCACTTGGGGCTAATCCCATATCCCTCGCACGAGCATGCATGCTATAAATTCCGCAAGCACGATTAGTTATGTCTCTAAGAATTTCGAGGTTAGCGCGATCAGTGAGGGTCGGTTAACGAGCAAGTTGGAAGGTGAGTGAGTGTGAGAGTTGGGCGATCCGATGAGCTGGTGTCGGGTATGCGGGGTTTTCGTGCGAGGACGCGACGGACTGTGGCGCACGGGCGAACCTGGCTTGCATGCTTGAGCCAAGCGGGGTGACAACTCGGTGTAGATACGTGGCGACGGACTGCCAGTATCGTGGGTGTTGATGCGCGGCGACGGACTGCCCGCAACATGAAGAGAGAGAGAGAGAGAGAGAGAGAGAGAGAGAGAGAGAGAGAGAGAGAGAGAGAGAGAGAG